ATTTTAGTTTATTGTATACATATTAGGTGCACAATTTAAAAAAGAATAGAATCCTACTCTCTAGGACAGAAGACAGTAGACACATTACACTTAATTAGGCAACTTGCCCTGATTTCTGTATTGGGGGTTTTAACATCATTGCTTGGATCTTTTGTTCTGTCATTTTGCTCTTTTTCACAGTCCTGAAATACCACATTTCTGTGATGTTTATTTTCCATGTCTAGTTTTTCTGACTCTACATTGATACCTGTATCTTCCGGGTTAAATTCTTGGATTTTACAAGAATCCAAGAACACAAACCTCTATTTTCTCTAAATTTAATTTTTTCTTGACTCATTGTTAGAATATCTACAATTGCATGTCCCATTTCTTCAATAGGCTGAACTCCTACCAGAATGGCATTCTCATAGACTGCAATAATATTTTCAATAGGACTTGTGAGTGGTTTAGTACGTGCAAGGCATATCCAATATTTAACAAGCTTTTTGGCATCTGGAATATTTCTAATCAGGTAATTCAGTGTGACCAATATTTCTTCTTTTGAGCATCCCTTATTAATGAGGTTTATGCATTCAGAGAATGTCTTGTTTACTTTTTCAGTAAATAATCTTTGTTCATCTTCCTCTGCCAGGGTAGTCCAGAAAGACCCAACTGGCTTTTCATCCTCCCCTCTGGGCTCAGGCTGGGTGACTCCTGAGGCAGGAGGCCTTGTCGGCACCTTCCTTTGCCAGCCCTCCACTCACTTAGATGAGCTTTTCACTCTTCTGCTGTCTCTCTGGGCCTAGCCGGTCTCATATTGAGGGTCACTTTTGTGATAGTGTGTCTGCTCTGGTCAGCGGATTTTGAGTTTTCTGTCAGTTTGGTATTCGAAGACGAAGCAGGCCTGGCTATGATTTCCGACATGATGTTTCTTGACAGTGTCTTACTTCTTTTTACGTCCTGAGTAGAACTGGTTTTGATACCAGATAAAACTGCATTTAATTTTAGCCACTCTTTTTTACGAGGCCCTTTCTGAATTGGAATACCAGCAGAGGTTCTCCTGAGGCCTTGTTTCACGGCTTCCTGGGTATTGTGGTGACTTCTAATAGGGGGTTGTGTGAGCTGTCTGTCCTGAGGTGCAGTGCTCACACATTTGGGGGCAGCTGTTATGTCTGAGGCTCTGTCTTCTCTCACTGTGACCTTGTTGGTGTTCCCAGGCTGAGGCTTCATGGCTTTGGAGACAGCAGGTGCACTTTTCTCTGCTTTTGCTGAGCTCTTGTCTTTGACTTGTAGAGGTTTTCTAAATGAATTAACCTTAGACTGAGCAATTTGGCCACAATAAGACTCCAGCACAGGCTTTTTGGACACATTAGCTTCTTGCTTTGGTTTTTCTGTCACCACTTGTTTCTTTTTATTATTGTTTATAAGGTGATAAGCTTGGCTTAATGTCAAATGTTGACATTGGGGGTCATCTTTAACTGGTAACAACTGCAGGGTGAGATTGCTATCCTCAAAAATCATATGTATCAATTGTTATACTTGAACTGACCGATTCATTAGAGGGTTTTAAAGGGACACAATTTTTTTCCTCTCTTATATTATTTCTGCTCCCTTTAGTTCTACTAACATTTTTTTTATCAACCATTTTTGTTTGAATTTTCAGAACTTTTGTCTTTTCATGGACCTGGCCCTCAGATGTCATCACGCTCTGGTCTTTACTGCTGGATAATGCCCGACTTTCCTGTTTGTATGCAAAAAATGTTTTTCTATTTAACAGATGTTGAGTTTTTGGTTTCTTTGCTCTCTGAAGGCAGACTGGGTCCTCTGAGTAGGGGCAGCTGCAGGCCCAGCAGCACAGCCGGGGTCCATTTACTAGTTTTAACCTTAAAAAGGGTATTAAGCAGTCAAATTCTGTATTTGAATCCGCCACTATGAGCTGTGTGACAAAGCCTGGGCAAGCTAGTAATTTCTATGGTAAATCTGACTTTGCTCTTGAATTACATTAGGATAATCAGAGTACCTACCTTACAGGATTGTTGTAAGGATTAAATGAGTATTTGTGAAAACTGGGACCTAGCATATTATATGCATTCAATACTATTAGTTTTCATCACTAACCTCTTTAGGCATCAATTTAGTAAATCACTTATTAATATGATGTAGTAATAATTCTCAACTGTAAAAGATAACAGCAGGTGTTTTGATTGAGAATTGGGAAGATTTGTCATTTCAAAGGAGAGGATGAGACTAGAACTAGAGGTTTTCCCCCAAATCATGATGCGCTTTATGTTTTGAAGTGTAGTGCTTGGCTCTTCCCTCAAGGTCAGTTTGTCGTTCATTATAGCCCACATCCACAGACTTACTCGCTCCATTTGGGTTGAGAGCCTGATTGTTTTCTGCAGGGCCCAAAGTCAGCTGTGACTTGGGAGGGAAGTGAATAAAGATATGCAGGTTTCTTAACTACTTCGGGGAGAAAGTGACACAGATCACTTTGCTCACATACCATTGGTGCAAATTAGTCATTTGGCCCCACCTAAAGGAAAAGAATGCTGGGAAATGGAGTCCCTGGTTGGACCACTGCTCTCTATCACAACTCTGCCCAAGGGAAATGGGGCATGATCTTTGGTGGATCTGCTGTGGTCTACCCCTTCTCTTACACACAGAGCATACTGAACTCCCAAAGGGGATGACTCAAAGATCCATACAAATACTGCCTCTGGCTCCAAATCCAAGACTTCCAGGATGTGTGTAGTCTTCCTCATAAGGTCTGGGTATCTCTTCTTGGGATCTGGAAAACTATTAAGTAAAAAGCAAGTTATACCTCATATATAATATAAAATGATGGAACAGGGATATAATAACCCCAAGACAATCATTGATGCATAGAAATTATGAAACTCTGTCAGGCAGGCATTAGGCAGGCCTTCTGTCCTTGGGGTGGAATATTTATTGACTAGGCTCTGTTCTGCTGTCTGGAAAACATTCACTTGTCCAAGGCCCCTGTTCAAGCCTCCAGGAGTTTCTTCCTTGTCTTTTATTCTCCATGGCCACATTTAAAATGGATACCCAGGAGTATGCCCTTCTTAAGGCCCATATTAATTTTTAGGCCTGCTTCCTACTGGTACAAGTTTTATTGCTTTTTGAGGCTTAAAAATTCAAAGGCTTCTTTGGCAAGAAATTCCTTCAGAAACTTAGGCTTCTGTGCTACTTGCTTCCATCAGTTTTCGTGTGCCAATAACCATACTCAAAATTTTCCTGCCTCCAGCCTGAATTGTTTCTTTGCTATTTAGCACTGGCTTCTCTTTCTCAACTCAGTGATGGTTCTTTTGAGATTATCCAAGATAGCCATGTTCTTAGTACGATCTTTGACATAAGGCTGTGTTGTTGATGAATCTTTATCTTTCAAAATCTCTCTCAGCCTCATTGATTACTGTTTAGGATCTAGCATCAATTTCTCTTCATCCCCTTTAATTCTATTTGTAATGAGGGAATTCTTTTCTGAAATCATCATTTGTATAAGGTATGATTTAAGGCAAGTCATGGTTATGCTCCCTTCTTTCTCTAATGCCCCTGGTTTCCCTGGGCATTGCTGACTATGCCATTTAAGTATCAAGGGAAAATGAGTTCAATTTTTAGTAATTGTTCTAATGTCATATGTATTACAGAGTAGTTAATTTGCCTAATTTGGCAGGATATGGGCAAGAGTAAATAAAATTAAAAGAAAAGTTCAATATAAGCATGCAAACTCTCTAGTCTGGATAAATGGCAGTAAGGGAGAATAGCCAGAGTGCTCACTGAAAAGAATCTTTGAAGATTTAACACTATGAATGTAAAATAAAAAAAAGATTTTCAACCAAAAAAAGATTTTGTTGGATTTTTCTATGGTGAGGCTCTTCCATTCAAAAACTAATTGGGTTTTCTGCCATGTAGCATGCTGATGATTGGAGCTATGGCATTCAAGGCCTGGTGGATTGTTAGCAGGTCTTACCCCACAATTAAGCAGAAGAGTTTCTAGGTTGGTTTTCTGTCTCATGAAGGGAATATAATTTTCTTTCTGGAACATATCTATGTTGGTGGAAAGAAGAGAATTCCAAATGATGAAGGAAGGGGAGAGAGGAAGAGAGAAAAGGAAAAGGAGGATAAGGAAGAAGAGGAATAGAAAGAAGAAAAGAAGAGAGCAGAGGAGGAGAGAAGAGGTGAAGGAGAAGATTATTTTTTAACATGATGATGGCCCAATTCAGTTATTTGTCAACCAGTATTTAATCAGCATGAACATCGCTCCCAAGTACTTCCCAAAACCCAGCTTCTGCTGTTACAAAGCAGCCCAGTTAAGATATTGGTGGATCTAATAGTAGAACATTGGACAAGATTCTCTCTCCACCTTTATCTCATTTATCTTATATAAGTTTCATCAGAGTTCTGAAAAGCAAATATTATCTCTATTTTACAGATGAAGAAAATATGTCTCAGATGACTTAACAGGAGTAGAGGAGCAGGCATTCAAACTTCAAGTCATTTGTCTCCCTGGTTCTGAAGCCCTTAGTATACTATGCATTGTGAGGAATAAGCATAACACTGTACATCAAAGCAGAACGCCTGGCACATAGTAAGCACTCAAATATGACTTTGTTTCCATTTTTGGGTTCCTTGCTAGAGATTATGTATCCCTATGAGAACTATTGTGCATTTGGAAGAATAGCTACATTTTCTTTTCAGCTTCAGGGAAAAGTGTCAGCATAGGCTTATCTAAAACCTCAGTGGGGATGGTAAGTAGGAAGGCTCCAAGTTTTTTTTAATTGGAGGTGACCTACAATATTATGTTAGTTTCAGGTGTGCAACACTGTGATTTGACATTTATATACATAAAAATGCTGACCATGATAAGTGCAGTTACCATTTGTAATTACAGTATTACTAACTATATTCCCTAAATTATATTTTTTCATCCCTGTGACTTATTGGCACACTTATATTTCATAACTGGAAGTTCATACCTCTTAATCCCCTTCACCCATTTTGCCCCTCCTCCCACCCCATCCCCTCTGGCAACCACTAGTTTGTTCTCTGTATTTATGAGTCTATTTCTGGTTTTGTTCGTTTTGTTTTTTATATTTCACATACAAATGAAATCATATGGTATTTATCTTTCTCTCTCTGCCTTATTTCACTTAGCATAATATCCTGTAGGCCCAGCCACATTTTTGCAAGTGGTGAGATTTCATTCTTTTCTTTATGACTGAGTAACATTACATTGTACATATTTACCACATCTTCTTTATCCATTCCTCTCTTGATGGACACTTAGGTTGCTTCTATACCTTGGCTATTATAAATAATGATGCCATAATCATAGGTGTGCATGTATCTTTTCAAACTAGTGTTTTCATGGGTGGCTGTCAGTTTTGATAGGTTTAATTTGGTTTTATATTTTGAGAGAGAGCTATATCATCTAAAAGCAAAATAGTGGTATGATTTCCTTATAGAAAAAGTTTATTTCTCAAATACCGTGACTATTACTTTATTTTATAAGGTAATAAATACAAAATAAAATAACTGGTATAAATTAATTTTCTTTTGAAAGAAGGATAATTTTCCTACAGAAGCAACCAAACTGTCCATCAATAGCTGAATTGATAAAGAAGATGTGGTACATATACACAAGGGAATATTATTCAGCCATAAAAAAGAGAAATCCTGACATTTGCTACAACATGGATGGAGCTAGTGGTATTATGCTAAGTGAAATAAGCCAGCTGGAGAAAGACAAATACCATATGATTTCAATTATTTGTGGAATCTAAAAATAAACAAAACAAAATGAACAAAACAGCAGTATACTCAGAGACACTGAGAAGTGACTGGTGGTTACCATAGGGGAGGGGTTGGGGTGGCTGGGTGGTTCCTTTAAAGTAGATAAGAATCGTAGATCCAATATTTGTTTTAACTAAGTGGAGCAATATGTAGTGCCTCACTTGGAATTGTCCCATTAGAAGTTTTTTACCCTTGACAGCACTAATATGTAATAAGGATAACATCCCACTTAACAATATAAATTATTATGCACCCCTCAAAGGAAAATGGAGACCAAAGTTAGATTAAGAGACATTTAAGAGCAGGGGCATAAAACTAATTCAGTATTTGTTTCTCATCTAAAAGCTTTCTAGATTTTTAGATAAGTGTGTTTAAAAATACAAATTCAAGTATTTTTTTCCACATCATGCAATTCACACTCTAAGTCCAATACTGAGTAGTTTATAGAAACCCAAATAGCTTTGACTATTTCATATAAAGTAAAAAAATAAGGCATAGTTTACATTGTTCAATGATATGATAGCAAGAAGAATGTTATACTTGATTTGAGGGTGAATATTACTTTTGATTTTATTGGAGAGAGCATTTCAAATATTTAATTTAAAAACCAAACTATCATCACAGGTTCCGATTTAATTAAAACTTAACAAATACAACAAAACATCTTTATAGGTTTATTTTAAAATGATGACACACTTGATATTAACAAAAAAGGCATCAAATGCCCTAAGAAAAAGCTCATAATCTTACTAACTGCCCTTTTAGAATATCAAAAACAAATAGTCAACGTCAAATTTTTTTTCTTGTTTGACAAGAAAAAGCAGAATGAGAACCACAAAATAAAAACTCTCAATATGCTATACAGTAATAGCCCATCTTTGCTTTTTGTACATTTGTTCAGAGACTGACTGGGAAACATGAAAATGGCAGTTGGAAAACAAGTCTGGCTCTTCCTGAAACACAGGAGAATTACTAAAACTTGGAGCAAAGGAAAATACAGTCTGCTGTCCATATTTCCCTGAAGTAAAATAATAATTCATGGTAAAATAATTTCTAAATATGTCAGCATCTTATGAACTTGAAATTGAGAGGCTGAAAAAATAAATCAAACATCTGTGGAATGCTGAACAACCAAAACAGATCTATATAATTATGGTATTTCATTCTGAGCTTGATTCCAGATTCTTCCTTCATTATCTGTGAGAGGCTTCTCTTGTCCTTAAAGTCAACATTAAGGCATGCTAAGTTTCATATAACAAAATTATTCTAACAGTAGCTTTGGATATTGCAGTTCTATAATTATAAAATATTGTCCTAATACATACATAGAGTGTACATAAATTTTCACACGGAGACTGCAGGTATACTCCTAGGTGTAAGCCACAGATTTCTGAAATCACTGTTACATATTTAAAATAAAATCTTAGTCTTTACACTGTCAGTGTATGAGTCAGCTAAATTATTTCCCAAGGCTTATGCCCACAAAAGTTGAAAGGAGAGAATATTATAGAATGTTATGAACCATAAAATGATATAGCTGAAAATCAGCTATCATTGAAAGACAATGATATCTTAATTCTCTGTCTTATGAACCCTTTTATAATGGAAAAGCCAGTGAGACATCATTATAATTTGTTCCACTGTAGTCATTATTTATGCCCAGTTCTGGGAAAGGTCAAGCCTTGTTACAGAGAAATCTAAGGATCTGTATTATTCCTTTGTCACAGTACAATCTAGCTGGTGGTAGTAAATCTTGCTGAATAGGTGTAGCATTGGTGAAAGTTGTGAATCTCTTTTGTCAGACCACATTTTTTGTGGTAGCAGTAATTGCTGCAATGGAATCTGATCTTCAGATTGAAAAACCTTCTAATAGATAAAGAGAACATTTTTTCTTTAGCTTTAGATGATTAATACAAGTAAAGTTGTACATGTGCCTATTTATTGCACATATGAAAGACAAAGGCTAAATGTTCAAATGTTCTTACCTAGAATTTTTGACTGTCATAAAGAAGTAACAAAAGTACAGTCACTTGGGTTCAGAAACTTAATTCCTGATATTAAAGTGGCATAATGCTCACTCACTCACTTATCCTTATGCCCAGGGGCAAAGGAAAGGCACAAATGAATTTGGGAGGGCAGTCTCTTTGTTGAAAAGTGCACCTCAAAGGACGTATGCCAGCACTGGTACAACCGGGTCCCTAAAATAAATAAGTACAAGAGTGATGGACTCAGATATTTTAAGCAGACAGCAAAATGTGATATTTATATCACGGGCCAGTATCTAGGTAGTATAGAATCAAGGGGCATAGCAGTTACATGGATGAAAACACACACAGCCACCAAGAATGTCATGGTTCCAAGCAGTTCTGTACTCCTCTAAACTATGTATCAGCTATGAGATGGGGAGCCTGGAGAAAATACATTCTTCTTATGAGGGGCCAGTACATCATACTACATCGTCTGCTTCAGAAGCTCCAAATGGCTGGAAAGGACATACATATGGCAAAGAAACTGCCACAAACTGTTTAAAGTGCCCTAAAAAGGAAGTCTATTAAAGTCATCAGGAGGATTAAGCTGTCCATTGGCAGCATGTAGATCCCAGCAGTAATGGAGAATGGCAGCTTTCTTTCTGGTACTCATCCATTTGGGCTACACTGCTGAACAATGAGCTGCCTTTGTTTAATATTAGGATGGTGCTCTGAGTTTAGTTTTTCTAAAACCCAGTAAAAAGTTAAAGACCTAAACAACAGACCTCTGAAAAGAGTTTTGCTTCTCCAGGTCTAGCAATAAAAACTCCCATAGATAAGAACAAGCACCATGTTAAAGAGATAGATATGAGGTCATGAAGAATCCGAGACCAACAGCAGAGTTATTGTCTGTTCAATGTGTGTAACATTTATCACCCGATCTTGACAAACTACTTCTAAATAAACATATAGAGAGCCAAAAAATCCTCTTTATCAGATTGTAAACAACAGTGTCTAAAGTTCAGGTTGTTTTGCCTGTGTAACCATCACTTAATATTTAGGTAATCTTCATCCTTAATTCAGGCACTGACAGGATGAACTAGAGCTACACAACTGAATACTGGGGGGAAAAGTTGATTAAGGCAGTTATCTGAATTGTGCCAATGCAACACTAAAAGAGACATCCAGATGATTTTCTGAATTGGTTCCTTTTGCAGTAATGGTCTGTTGTCATATGTGGAACCCTAAAAAAGATGTGCCTTATATATGAGCAGATTTAAATAATATTGTTGAAATAAGTGAGCATTTACTTACTTTATTTCACTTTAAAATTTTAAGCAAGGAAAGGAAGCAATATATTCTGGCTTGTTAGGTCTTTTTTCCCCCTGAGTATTTTCTTTTCCTAACTAATACATATATATACATGGATATATATATATATATATATATATATATATCCTTTAGATCACATCAGAACTATATATAATTTGGAAGTACTGCAAGATTCATTAAATGCTTCCATATGAAAAGCTTTGGCCTTTTTCTCCTTTGTCAGTTTTATAGAATTGAAAAACTTCCTAACACTTAATTCTCAAATTTGTCTTCTTCATAGGCTGAAAAACAGGCTGCATATTAATGGTTTAGTCTGCAATTTAGCTAATTAAACCTGTGTCACCAATAAATAAAAACAAAACTCAGCTGATCCCACTTAGTTTCTATGAATAAACATGTATTTTTTTAATGTATTTAAACACACACACACACACACACACAGCTCAGATCTAGTTATTCAGCCCAGGAGATCATTCTCTTACTGCCTCAACATCATGCAGAGTGGGTCCTCAAGCAGGCTAAAATCTGACTATTTATAAACTTTGAGAATATAAAATTTATACTGCTGGTAAGGTAGCCTCAACACAAACCATGACATGAGAGTCACAGTAAAAGAAAAAGCACAAACAACCAGCAATAGAAAACAAAAATCATGTTTATATAGTCCTAATTATTTCTGAATCAACAATAGTCAGTTAGATAGGATAAGGTAATTGAACTTCATCTAGTTTCCACTGATATCCATAAAAATTTCTCACCTAATGATTCTTTTACATACCTGTCCTCTCTATTTTTTCTAACCTCTGATCCTCCCTCATCTTAACCCTTAGTAACACAATGTACCTAACTCACCAAATCCATCTCTGGCACCCACAACTGTTCCTTCACATAAGTACTCTGAGTCACACAATCTGCCAGCCAAAGTCACCCACATATTTCACATTCCTCAATAACAACAAAAACTTCAGGCATTAGAATTAGTCTTTAGATTCTAAAAAGATATAACTTTCTCACTTTCTCCCTTCCCCATCCCTGCCCTCCCACCCCAGGTCCCAGCTCCAGTCCTCTTTAAGGATGACCCCACTGTTCCTGGCAGCACAGTAATGGAAGTTAAAACAACTCTTGCAGTGGGAGATTGGAAACACCTTAGGGAATAACTACAAACTACAAGCTATTTCTGAGGTGTGCTCCCCACCTGTTTCCTGAACCATAACCTTACCAAGATAGAGTATTAATGTGTGCTGTGGGTATGTGTTTTGCAAGGTTGTGACTACTTGCTCATCATCCCTCTCATCCAGCAAGTCTGAACCTCATGAGGGCCTGGATTTTAGGCTCTCAGAATGATGCCTAGACCACTGTTAGGTGGGAGGTGAGTTCTGGTGAGGAATGCAGTTCCCACTAAATGAGTGTGTTTAATCTTTCTCTCTCTACTCATTTTAATTTTTTGGCTGTGGGCTTAAGGATTGCTGCCATCTTGGGGCAATGGCTAGTTGCTTGGCTACAGCAAGTGATACTGGATTCTAGGCACAGTCCCCAAAAATCTAGCTGCAAGTGTATTGGAAGTTTTCTCCAAACAGTAACAACAAAACATCACCTGGGACTGTGCCTGAGCCAACCATGACTCAGACCTGCCTGAATTTTTGGATGCTGGAAATATATTGAAAATGCCTTAAGCTTTGCCTCTCTAGTGTGAGAACTGGGAAAGACTTCAAGAGTATGGGTAACCAGTATGATAGCTAAAGAACACATTGAAAATGAAATTTATATCAGCAACTAATTTTATGTTATCTAGAAAATGGACATGCAACACTGGCTAATATCTGGCACTACCATTCTGAGTCAAATCCAGATTGGTCTTATAATGATTTACGTAATTTTCTTTTACTAGAAAGTTCATTCTAATGACTTAGTTACCACTTCTGAGTACAGGAATAATTTAATTAAATAAACACATGTGCTTTTACATATTTAAAAATAATCAACACATTTAAGCTTCAAAATATTCAAATACAAAACCCAACATTTTAGTATTCAGCCAAATTATGGGAAGAAAAAATAATAGCAAGAAAACGGATAAGCATAAGCACCTTTGATAATTAAATGTAAGCCTTATTATGTGATTAGTGCTTAAGTTCTTTTTCACAAAATAGGTTACTAATTGATCCTACTGTATGTACAATCTCCTAGTGTCCAAAGAATAATATCCAAGATTGTGTCAAAGAAATAATTTGTACACTGGGTCATGAGAAATGTTTTCCTATAGAGATAGAAGATAGCTACTACAGATTAGTTAGTTTCAGTACTTTAGAAGGACAGGTGTAGCTGTTTGTGGTTATCTAATGTATCTTACATGGCTTTTCCTCTAAATAAAAAATACATAGAGAACAAAAACACTGGCTGTTGGTTTGGGAAATAAACTTTTCTTGCCAGGTAAAAAATTGCACTATTAATTTTAAGAAATGTGGTTTGTTTTCATATAAAATGCCAAGGCAGACTCTCAAGGCAGTTGACAATCAGAATTAACCCTGGACAGCAAGAGCATCTTCCTCTACCAAGGACAGTTCCAAGGTGTTTTCATTAGCGCTGGTTTTCATCCTGAAGTTGAAAGAACCATACAGTTTTGCAGACTCTTTGGAAGAGGCAAACCTGTTGCGACGATACAGTTCCCCCTTCCACATAGACATCATTAGCAAACAGGAGAGAACAACTCCCCCAAGCGTTAGCAGGCAGAGTCCAGCAATCACACAGCGGTCCAGGTGAGCCCCCAGCCTTGCACTCTCCTTCTCCAGACGTTCCATCTCCCGGGCTGCCACGGTGTTGGGATCCACAGTCACTTCCCGTGGGACAATGTAGGAGATGATCACCAGCAAGATGCCAGTGACCAAGAACAAGATGGCGCTGATGAAACCATAGTCTACTGACTTCCCTGAAGATGTGGCTTCTGAACTTGTGTCATCTTCATCCTCAGATATCAAGGATATGGCAGCCTCATGGGACCATTCATCTGTACTTCCCCAGCCCAGGTCTCCCATGTGACTACTCCCCTTTGTGGAAGGGGAGCTCCAGTTCCTCTGCTCCAAGTTGACATTCTCATCCACGTAAGTGAAAGAAGTTTCTAATTCCTGGCTGCAGCAGTTGCAGACTTTCCGTTCTGCTGTTACTGGGTCGTTCCCTGAGTTGAGAGGTCCTGATGGCAAGGAGTCTGGCTGAATAACACTGTCTTGCAGAGAGGACGAGGGGTCTACTGGAGAAGGGCTAAGTTTAGACTCTTCCATCTTGGAGGCTCTTGGGGTTGACATACAGTGTTTCTGGCAGCAGAGAGCAGCTTTGGTGGCTGCTGCACCTACCTGGTCACCAGGAGGCCCTCCTGAACTCCAGTCTACAGCATCGCACAGGTCTGCCTGGCTTCTCTTCTTAGCAAGGTAGTGGAGCTCCATTGAAGCTAGTCAGACATCCCCGAGCAGCTTTCAGAAATTCTGCCAATAGCAACACAGTTAGTTAAGAACCCAACAGGATCTAAGGCTGCACTACAGGACACCCCATTTCCTTTGCATCCGCAGTTGTTGACACTTGAGCCCCAGTTCCTTCCAGAAGGGCTAAAAGAAAGTAGAGTACACCTTGTGGCAGGAAAGTGTGAAAAGGGCAAATTCTCTGATTTATCACAGGGATTAACACTGAGAAACTTACTTTGTCAGGGTAGAAAAGGAGCATGGAAGTGGCAGTGTCTCTGAAGAAAGCATTGCCGTCACCAAGCCAAATTTATCCAAGGACTCACACATTTTTGTGACAGGATCCCTCAAATGAGAAGGCAGGTTTCCGGTATAGAGACACAAATGAGAAAGGCAGGGGACCTTTTTTAGCAGAGTGCTGATTTTTTTGGAGAACCTGACAACACAGACTTACTAACAATTCAGTTAAATTTTAAGTGTTTACACTCTCTTTAGTTCAAAAGAGATTTAATACATTAGCTCTGGAGCATAACCATAGGTGAACGAATATGTGGCTATCAGTTGGGCTCTATTGGACCTTGGGCTCAGCATTTTGCTTGCATAGTTTTGAAGTGGGTAAAAGATGGCTTAATTAGCCATCCCTCCTAACCTCATGTTTTACATCCAATAACCCTAGTCACACGGCCCTTTTTCCCAAGACCCTATGCTTGTTCATTGTGCTTCTATTCTTATCCCATTCCCTTGATGGCACATGACGGCAGCATGTTCTGAACCCAGAATTATGTAGACAACATACCTTACTGGATGACTCTGCAAATACGATGGCTACGCGCGTGCACACACACACCTGACTGCTCCAGTACAGGTCAGGTACTCCTGCTCACTGGGTCTGAGTGGGTCTGTGCACCTTCCCTCCACATGCTTTGCTAACAAACATGCACAGGAAATTGACCATTCAGAAAATTGTATATACCCAATCTAGAAGTAAACTGACAATAAACGACAAATTATAAACCCATAGAGTCACATCTGTTGAAGAAAATAGGTGACAAACTTAGCAAAGTTTCCTCTGAAACTATACATCCGTGAATGCTCTCACCCCTACTGCAGCAAGGGATCTTTCTGGGATATAACTCTGAATTGAGCAAAAAGCCATCTGCCCCATCTTTCTCTGCTGCATCCGTCTTTTTGAGGAATAAAAATTCACTTTTCACTATCACCAAATACAGAGGTTTCAAGCAAGGGCCCTTTTTGTTTTGCCTCTACATCCAGGGTAATACATGATTTAACCCTTAGGTTGAGGGCTTTTTGTGCGTTGAAATTCACAGCCCCAACAGGTCCTAAGCCACACAGAAGCACAAGTCAGGCTCACCTAAGGTCTACCTGGCAACTTATTTAAAATATAGGAGAGGGAATCCACGTGTTTTCTGCTCTTCATTAGAGTTTGCTAAAAAAAAAAAAAAAATACACGTCCCTCCTATTACCGGAGTTTGTCTGCAGCTAAAACAGAAACCAAAAAGTACGAAGTGCAGAAACACAACTGAACCAGAGCTTTCCTTTAGCAAGTGGGCAGACTCTTTACTGTTGATCCTTCAATGAATGAAGCGATGGTAATGGACTTGATCAATTACTGAAATCATCTCAGTTTCTTCAGACCTTAGGCGTTCTGATTAACCTTTGGCACAATTAACTCATCAATTGGACTACTTTGGTTAAAAATCGGAAGAGTCCTTTAGGATTTCCAATTTATAACAAAGATGGAGAGAAATCTCCACTTAATTCTCTCTCCTGCGTCTATCTTTAAAGAAAAGGGAGACTCCGCTTGGTCCATTGGAAATACACCAGCTGCACTGTCGATTTCCTTTGCGGCTCTAATCCGGGGCTTCCATCCTCAGCGGAGAATGGATCATCTCAGGGGACCAGCTCAAGGCTCTTTCCTTCCGTTCCCTCCTTCTCTTCTCTTTGCCGTAAAGAGCGCAGTTAATAAAATTGCACCTCAAAGCGAGGGGACAGCACGTTCTCTTGCCGTCTGCCATCAATTAAAAGCATTAATATTTTCAATGGAACTAAATGACAGGGGAGAGGCTGGTCTGGGGGTGGCGACCTCAGGATCCCTCCAGCGCGCCTTGCGGGAAGGGCGTGCCGCAAGCCTCGGCAGTTGTGCCCCTGCGAGATAAATACCTCGGTTCCGGGTGAACTCTGAGAACGCACGAGGCACCTGGAGTTGGGATCCTTCTCCGAGTACCCCGAGGCAAGGAAGCAACCGTGGGCAAGGAGTGGGGACGCGCTCCCCTGTTCCGCCAGGCTCCCGGGTCTCTCCCTCGCCCCAGCGCCTCTTCCCCGTACCACTCTCCAACACTCACCTCTTGTCTTGACCACCAAGTGCTGCTCAAGCACCGCGCTCTCGTCCCTGCGCGGCTCCTCAGGAAAAGTCTCCAGATCACCAGCCGTGGCACTTGTAGCCTCTGCGCGCGGCTCGGCTCCAAGGAGTGGGCAGCGCCTGATGTGCCGGCGGGTCGGGGTGGGGCGGGGCGGTCCCTCTTGCTGAGCATCCCGGGAGATGTAGTCCGGGGCAGCCTCACTGTGTTCCTCCGGTCTCCGCTCTCCCCTTCCTCCACTTTCGCCCTTTCTGAAGACCAGCTCCTACCATACCTCCATACTCCTGCCTGGCACTTTAAAGAAAGCACTGGCTCCTAAACTCAGGGCTGGGTCCCATAGCCTCAGGTGTGGCCACAAGATTATGGGGAAAGGAGTGTATATTTAGATTTGTATATTTTGAAGTGGATTTTGTAAAAAACCATTTTACAGAGGAGGAGAGAGGCTCAGAAGAATTAAGTGTCTCATCCAAGGTTACAAAAACAATAAATGGTAGCTAATACATTGTATCCAGTAATCTGATTCCAGAACCTGGATCTCTTTGCCACTACCTATACTGAGCAATGCTTCACAATCATTTTGACAGCAGAGTATACATAAGAAGTGATAATATCTATTGCACTGGGATAAACACAAGACGTTTCGTGTGGCCACTGTCCTGGTGCTGTTACTACTCCAGGCCCTGCAGGACAGCTGAGAAGGAATAAATAAGCTGACACACCTGTAATATACTGGAACACCCGAGGATGGCAGACACAGGGCCTGGGAAGCTCTGGATAGCACTATCAGATTTAATAAGGAGGCTGATTTGGGGCTGAATATAAGGAAGAATTTTCTAAAAACTTGAAATAGAATGTCTCATGAAAGTGAATTTGTTATTACTCAAAGAAGAGCCGTTTATTCGTCATGTAGAAGGAATTTATCTAGTTGTATTAGAGACTTCTTATGGTTTCCAGGCTGCAGTAATATGTTACATCTCTTTCATAAAGCCCTTTTCCTCCAACAGCCCCCAAACATTATGCTTCCTATGAACTTTGCTAGGCCTTGTCAGCACAGATATTTTTAAAAATTCATCAGCCACTGCTTTGTGACATTTCTTGTATTTCTAGGTAACACTTAACTTCACACCTAGGTGCCTAAACCCCCAGTGGCAATTGTGAGATCCTTAAGGTCAGTATCTATTTATTAAATGTCTTCTTACTTTCTGCAGAAAATGCAGTGTTTCTCTTAAAGATAGTGAGGGAAAAATGACAATACTGAATTGAGACTGAAGATGATTATCCATGTTATTTTTCTAATTTCCTATTTCTATATATAGTACACTTGACTGACTACATATTCTTGAACATTAAAAAAAATCAACTCTGTGCCAATATACTACAAAATCTCCTCAATATTCTGCAGACAAAGAATAAATGTGAACTGACTGATCCCCTGGAAAGAAAAGCTCTGCAAAAAATATCACTTGCAGGAATTAACCACCCCTCTTCTGCAAGTCCATGTCTGAAACTTTCCTCAAACTCTGACCCAAGAACTTTTTTCAATAATCTTTCTTGTTCAAGTTATTACTAATTCTTATTACTCTTATAAATGGCATTCTAGTGGCAAACTACACTTCCTTTTATACTGTCATTTCATATCTATAGAAGCCTTTCATGTTTATTTTACACTGCTTTCTATGTGGTCTCTTTTCCTGGATAAAATTTGAGCTCCTTGAGAACTGATATAGTCTTTCTATAACTTCAAAGCTACACATGGGCATGAAATGGCAAAACACATGGGCAACAGTTATTCCTCAATATATGCTTACAAAAGATTGACACTAGTAAAATGATGATCTTAAGGTTTTAATAATGATTGGGATCTTACATAATTTTTAATACACCTCATATTCTCATGCTCATTTATGCCCTGTGAGGTATGGGAGGAGAAATCATGACTATAGTAGGTTAATCAGTGCAAAAATAGACTCTGAGAAGTAAACTAACCACGTGAATAAAGAGTAGTGCAGGGACTTTAAAAATCAGTCTCTTAACGATGACTGAGGGTGCTCTCTTCAGCAGTAATAATAATGACTTATTGTAAATTAATACCCTTAGTGGATCTAGGGCCATCAGGAGAGTATAGTTTGTAGTGAGGTAAGAAAGAAATGGCTTAGAAATGGCTGGATAAAGGCTCACTCATTTAATGCAAATAGTACAAGGAAATGACCTGCCTCATGCCCCACGCTGGCACTTCTGAATGATGGGAGAAAAGAATTAAAATGACCAAAATTTAGAATAATGAAGATTTCACTTTCTAACAAAATTCTAGGAACAAAAAAAACCACATTAAATGTAAAAGTTTCCTTTAAATAAAAATGCTTACAGGCAGTCCTGTTATTCAAATAAAGTAGCTAGATAAAGACAATAGGGGTGAGGGAAGACTGCAGTCAAACTGGGATCAAGTGCTTTTCCTAAAGGAACAGTACCCCCTGACAGCTTTACCTGATTGTTGGAAAGAATTCAGATATCAGTCAGTCAGATAACCCAATTTATATTCAAATATTCAAAAAATTTTAGACTTTAAAGTTTAAAAAATTTAAGTCTATATGGGCTAAAGAGAACGTAACTATAGGGAACATTTATTTCCAGTACTAGCAGACTAATTGATTTAAAGCTATTCATTGTCATGGATAAATAGAAAATCTGGACAAAATGTATAAAAATCACTTGTTTGAAGACATTCAAGTTTAACAAGATAGATAAGAATTATTGAGCTAAATTCCAGAGAAGGAGAGAGGCTTAGAGATACAAGTCAGGACCTTTTAGCTTCTTTTTACTTGGGGATGTTAGATAATTTCAGAGGAAACAGTTGAGACACTAAGAAGCTACAGAGCAGGGATTGGAGTCCTGAGCTCACCACGGAAAGAAGTCCTAGTGAATCTGCCCCATTTCTTAAACTTTGAGTTGGAATCCTGAAAGGCAGCATCCTAACTGTGTGAACCAGAAGTTAGATAGGGAATGCATCTCAGTTTTTAAGATTCAAGCTCTAAAATTTAACCAAGGTGATTTTAGAGTGCAAAGATACCAGGTTCTGGGCAGAAGGAACATTCTCTCTCTCTCAAAAAAAAATACAGTATCATCTCAAACCTATTCTACAAACAATTTTGAAAATACACTAACTCACAATAAAAAATAACCATAAAAAAGCCAATTTCTAAAGATCACATACTGTATAATGCCATATATTTATACATACACTTTCAAAATGACGTAATTATGGAGAAGGAGGACAAATTAGCAGTTACCATGGGTTGGGAATGGTGAGGTGACAGGAATGAGAATGACTATAAATGGGTAGCATGAGGGAGATCTTTGTGGTAATGGAATAGCTATATATCTTGAT